TCTTCTAACTGAATAAAACGAAGTAACAAACTTAGAAAAATATGTAATTCTTAAAAAGGCTACTGTCTTTGCTGTAACACAGTTCAAAAGTTAAATTGCTCAATAAGAAGTTTAATTTGCCACATGATAATAACTGGCCAGAATAACAAATTCCGACTGTTTTGCTTTGTTTTTGTCTCCTCTTAATGTATGCCACATTTGTATTATGGATAAGACGTTGATTGCTGCATAATAAATAATAGAACAAAATCCTTTATAGTAAATCATTCCAGGGTCAGGAATGGAAATACAGGAATTCCGCGTTCACCGTGATATCCATGGCCGATGCTACCTTGTTACGTACGTAATGAGTCCGCACTCTCTTGCTTATCTGAGTAGATTCCTAGCTGTAACAGAGGCTGTAGGCGAAGGATCATGAGAGTACGTAACTGTAGCTTCCTACAGTTATGTGCTCTCGTGATAATCCTTTTAGTGTTTATTTTTGCGTAGGCAGTACACCAATTGCTTATGTTTAAAATACACCGCCTGGAAGGGTGCAGATAATGTCAATATGAGCCCCAATCTCGTAAAGTTATTGATGTGATATGTGTATTAATTAATATAAGTTAAAAATCTTATATATGTTTCTGTGTAAATAGGAAAACATTTTATATAAAAAATCTGGAAATTAAATTTCTTACATTGCATATGCCTTGAAGCGAATGCCTGTACGATAAATAAGTATAATCGTATATCTAAAATGTGTATTTATCAATAAAGAACCACTTTGACTTGAAAATGTTGAGACACATTACGGATAACTATCTCCCATAACATATATTGTGACAAGATGTGATGATCCCCAACGCGGAGAGCAGTTCTTTGGCAGCAGGTCTCCTTTCTTGTCAATTCTTTTATTCGCGACACAACTCCGAGCCGCCGCTGGGGCGCTGAGCCGCACTTCGTTCAGTGAGCAGCGCCTCGCGTCGATAAGTCCGGCGCGGCGCCGCCACCGCGCTCCACTCGCGACAAAGCCACGCGCCGCCCGCCTCGGGGAGAATCGCCCGACTGCATCTCTCGATCAGTCTCGTTTCCCAGGCAATCCCCTTACGCTTTTCGTAAACAGTGAAGACATAATCCGACTGCATCTCCCGGTCAGTTATCCTTCATCGCCGCTTCTCAGCTAATCCCCTTTCATATTTTGTTAACAGTGAAGGCATAGTCCGACTGCATCTCGCGGTCAATTATCGCTCACTCTAGCTGCGCAGCTAACACCCTTTCACTTTTCGCTGCAAGGGCAGTCCAAGTGCATCTCGCGGTGACTTTTATCTCACCGTCGTTTCCGAGATAATTCCCTTTCACCTTTTGTTACTTGAGAAGACATAACCCAGCTGCATCGTATGGTTGCAGTTTCTAACACCATCGCATCCCAGCTAATCACCCTTTTAATTTTCGTTATTTGAGAAAGCAGGCCCCGACCACGTCCGGTTTCGTTGATTGATTGATTAGTGGTTCAGGAGAACTACTCAGTTGTGTATCTTAAAATAGAGCCTAGATCAGTCCCCGTAACCTACAGATTGTTTTGCACCGACGCCATTGTTTGCCCAACGACATCTGTACTTCAGAGGTTCAGAATTTATTGTTGGCCGACTTGGCCACTTGGCCGACTTTAAATTTCCCTCCCCAAGTACAAGGGGCTCATCGAAACAGAGCTGAAGAAGCGGGATATGGAGAGAAGTGAAGAAGGGGAAGTGGACGTAATGAAAGGGGAAGAACTGCAGAAGTAGAATACGATAAAAAGGGAATAAGCAACAGAGGAAGAAGACCTATGAGGAAGCACATCAACAGGAAGTAATGTGAAATAAAACGACCTTTAAAGCGTGTATTGTACGACCATTGAAGCGTGTATTGTGTGTGTCTGTAGGTAAAGAAGAAAAGTTTGAAAGTTGGGGATCGAACCAATACATGATAGTGTCTTGGTCAGAAGAAAAAAGAGTGTGCAAGAGGATCACAAAAAATCAAGCAAGTAAAATTTTCAGCTACTGTTCACGACGTTATAGCAACAAGAAGAGAATGAGGAAAGAAAACAGAAAAAGTTGTGAGTAAAAAGATTAAAGAGAAAAGCAAAAATACTAAGAAAAAAAACAGAAAAGAAAATATATGTCCAGAAAAAATGAAAGATGGAGAACAATGTGAATAGTTTTTAGAAATAAAACAAGGAGAAGGCTAGATGATTAAAAGAAGAGATTTCAAGCTAGTAGGAAAATAAAAAAGTTAACAAAACAATAGGAAGATTTGTTTGGTTGTTTTTTTGTTGTTTTTTTTGAAAAAAGGTTAAAAATAATTTTAAAACAAACGAAAAGAAAGGAAATGGGAAATACAGAGTAAAGAAGTAAAGGAAGCAAAAGAGAGAGTAAACCAGTAAAAAGAAAAAAAGTTGGGGAAAGGTAGAATTCCAAGAATAGAGAGGGTGTTGAAGGAAGAAGGGAGGGAAACGTGCGGTAGGTGAACATGGGCTACGTGAGCAGCGAGCGGGCATAGAGTCGGGTCGGAGATCGGCTGGGGCAGACAGAGGCGGAGGCGGGACCGAAAGCGGGTACGGGATAAGGGCACAATAGTAGGAGCGGAGGGGGAGATGAGGCAGCATAAGTGGGAGAGGAGGAGGGAACTGCACTGGGGAAGGAGAGAAGAGAGCGGGAACGAGAGGACCGGCAGCGAGGGTGGAAGTGGTGGAGGGATATGCGGTTTCTTGATTCATTGATTCCGGGCGCGTCAACTGCTAAGATTATTAGTCCCGTAAGTCTAGTGATTTTTTTCTCGGGAAGTGATTGTGATTTCCCTTAATGGATGGTGAAATCCGACGCCGGCCTACAGTCTCGGCTAGCTGCCTGCAGTCTCGACCAGGTATTTCCCACCAGCGAGGCACCGACCCAGCCAGAACAAGCTCCAACATGTGTAGCAGTATAGTGCATGTTAATGTGTGCGTAATTAAGACGTGAGGATAGGACAACGAATGGAAAGGAAAGATCGCGCGCGGTCCGATACTACTTAGGTATCGCCTAGTGTTGGCAGGAGAAACCACGGAAACCTACCGATCAGAGCAACGATAGGTGGTGTCGAAAATCCTGCCACCGTCGGGAGCGGACCCCCTAGGTCCTGCTGATCAGAAGGGCTGCAGTGACATCAGTTGATACCCTAAGCCACCTCTCGCGCTGGGAAAAGAGGAATGGGAGCAGAAGCGGAGGAAGGTGTGGTGGGATGGGAGCGAGAGCACTGGCAGTGGGGGTGCAAGCGGTGGTGAAGGGATGTGAGGAGGCGGGAAAGGAGGGAGGAGACAGAGCGGAGGCAGGTGCGATGGCAAGTGAGGTGGGAGAGGAGCCATGGCGGAGGCGGGACGGCGGCGGGGGCGGAGAGGCAAAGGCAGAAGGGGCGGCAGAGACACCGTCTAGGGGCGGCAGCGGAGGGGGCGGAGAGAAGACGGAGTCGACGCTTGGATGCCGGGCGGGGGCGGGGCGGGGGAGGGCGGGGGCGGGGCGGGGCGGGGCGGGGGGGCGGGGGCTGGACCGGGGGCGGGGCGAGGGCGAGGCGGGGGCGGGGGCGGGGCGGGGCGGGGGCGGGCCGGGGGCGGCGGGCGGCGGCCGGGGGCGGGGTTAGGGGCGGGAGGGTGCCGAGAAGGGGCGGATGCCGCGGCGCTCGGTGTTATTTAGAGTTGCTTAATAGGATCAGTCGTTGAACTGTTCGGTGTGATTCAGCATTGTCGGCGACAAGAATTGAGTAGCATGTTGCAGCTTCATTCATCCTTGGTAGCTCTGGCTTTCCAACGCGGAAGACGGCGAAAAGACGGCGAACCGCCCAGGACTTGATGCGCTCGGGCCGCCCTCTCCCGTCACCCCTCTCCATCTCACCCCCTTCTCCGACGGTGACGCCTGCCTCGGCCTCCCCCCCTTTGCCTACTCTGTCTCCGTCGCCAAGGCCTGCGGAGCCCCGTTGCCTTCAAACTGATCGCGAGAATCCGGCGGTTGCGACCAAGAACCCGTCCTTCTGTTGAAACATTTAACACTTTTTAAACATAACTTTACAAAACCCACAAAAATATACAAGCCTTCAAACAACATTCTATAAATACTATTTAATATATACTATATACCCCTCAATGTATTATAAGATTTGAAAAATAAGAGGTACCATTTTGTAACAACCGGTGATATTTAATAAATTTCTACCTTATTTCTCATAATTAAAAATGAGTTCATGTGTTGATGTTTTGAGCACCTGGTCTCAAATATATGGAATTGCCCCATAATTGCTTAGTACGTGTATTTTCAAAATTGTTTATGAAAGAAGTGGAGGTTTTGTTGTTAGAACACGAATAATTTTATTATGTATTTACTATTTGTCTTTTCTTAGCTCAATTCACGTACGTTTTTAACGCATTTTAAGAACCACGTATCCCATGAACAGGTATATCTAACAAAACATTTTCTCAGCACTGAGAAATGTAGCATATCTATTGTCTACTTGTTTAATCTATACAGTTATCAAAACAAATTTATTTTCTACCTAGAGACCATCTCTTAGTACACATTATAATCTTGATTTCACCATATCATTGGTTATTAAACGATATATAAACATTACAAACCCCTTAGTCAGGGGATTTTTAATCTGTCAATAAACATCACAACGATTAATGACAAGAAACGTTTGTTCCAGTATTATGAATGTGACACAGGTTTTGTCTGGGTATCTTTTAATATGTAAAGCATTTTTTATTTGCATAGCAAGGACTGAAAATGTGCAACAAAATATAAAATATGCGCAAATAAATAGATGCCAGATACAAATTGATGAATTGGGAATGAATTGGTTAAGTTTATTGATTTCTTTCTATTTGACCATTGTAATATATATTGCGCATTAAATTATAAGACACCTAGACAACTGTTGTCAACTAGTCATTCGTTACGGAATAATATAATACTTGCTAAAAAATAGTTAATAGATGTGATAACCAAACTTACAGTAACTGGTGACGGACGATGATCTTCTGTTACAGGGTAAACGGTATGCTGCAGTTTCTGGAATGAATAAACAATATATTATAATAGAAGAGAATATTCTCTTATTTTTATCACTTTACTTTAATATCAACCAAAACTGTAACACACGATATGCACTTTACTGTTTTCATACAAGGAAGTTTCATTTACCACCCTTCAAATCAGGTTATGGACTGTTCTACTGGCCTAATACTCCTAAATATCATTAGTGTTATTTGTCAACATTGTTTAACAATATTATTGGATATGTCAATTGTATATTAATTCTACTCGAGTCATGTTCGAAATAATGCCGTGAGTTGCTTTAATGTACCGTATTTTCACCGTCACTTCACATCGAAAAAGATGTCTCGTCAAAGCACCATTCAACCTTCTTTTGTAACAAGAACTGACCGTTCTGTGGGAAACTTCCTTTATCAGTAATCATAGTTTGCGAGGCGAGTCTATATCAAAGGCCTCACCCGACGGCTGACAATTCTGACTAGAAATTCTAAAGTGGCCGGCGTCCGCCATGTTCGCTTGCTATGTATTATGTGTTTTTTGTTTCTTTGTTAAACTGGTAATGAATTAAGATAATAAATCATATCTAATAATGAAAGGACAAATTAATTTCAATAATATAATGAATTAAGGTAATAAACCATATCCAATAATGAAAGGCTAAAATAAAAGAAATCTTAGCAAGGTTTGATGCAAATAATAAATTATAAAGATACAATTTAATAATCATAATTATTTACCGTGACACGGATAATATATTTTAACGGTATCACTTATTTTAAAATGAGTTATAACAATGTATAATAACTCTAATCATTACCTAATTCAATGTATTGCTTATTTCATGAAGCACTTAATTTCTCATTTCTTTCATTCCCTATTTCTCTCAAAGACCTCGTATTACCTAGCTGTACTACCGCATCACCAAGATAATAAATTGACAAAATAATAAATTGAACTGGCTCGTTAATTAATTCTCAATAAACGTGATGAACATTAACTTACTTATAAGTCAGTATAACTCAGTGAATTAGTAAAGTTGAACATAATCACAAGTGGCCAGGTCACCAGGCAGCGAACTAGCTATGTTACAAGGACACACGTAGCCAACGGCACAAATCTTCCGTGAGAAATCAGGAAGCCTTTGACCTACTTGGAATTGTGGACAATAATAATAATAGTAATAATAATAATAATAATAATAATCCCCCCTTCAAGAATGAAAATGGAATGGCAATATGTCTCTTAATATAGCTAGTTCGCAATGTCCACAAATCCATTGCCTCTTGCAATTCTTTTGAGAGCCTTCCGAATTCATCGTCATAGAAGATTGCAGTACGTTTTCGTATCATTTTGTTTGCGCAAAACGAGTTCTTGACATTCATCTTCATTTGTAAATACCTTTTTAATGGCAGAGAAAAGACGAAAAACGATTAAAACAGGAAGAATATGTAATTTTCATTTCTTCATTTTACATTATGTATAGAACTACAAATAAAACGTATTGTATCTGCTTGCGGTAATTTAATAACTGAAATCAATCTAATACGGATATGAACTTAACATCTGTCGCTATTATTAATGTGCACTTGGCGCGGAAGTTGAAAGAAAACTACGCAACCTCCGGCCATGTGAAAGGTGTCTAAAGTAGCGTACGTGCAATTTTATTTGAAACTGGATTTGATTGTAAATTAATATAGATTCATTAGTTGATTAGGGTTCTAGAATGTCTACATATAGCTCATCACTCTCGTTTCGTGATGAGATACGTTATAACATGGTAGATGTACTGAAAGATGTATCTGGAATGACAAAGTGAGCGTTGCATTAGGGGAGTTTGGGGCAAACAAGGTGTTTGGATAATATATTTTGAAAAACAATTTCGGGTGTTTTTTTAGGAACATTGTTGCCCGTTCCAAGCCAATAGTTTTAAAAATAATTCACTTATTTTTAAAGTAACACATAGAACGATTATTAAAAGTATGCCCTAATCAGTCCTCATCCTTCGTACGTCCCACCCACAAGGCAACCAGTTTCCGCCTTGCCTCCTCTACCTCTCCCTATTATCAGCCCTCACCAGACCCACCCGCCACATCTCTGACTCCGTTCTCTTTGCTCCTCCCCACCCCCTCCCGGGACTTGCTTTCATTTCAGTCTTCGCCTTTACTGCTACCAGTGCCAGCCAAGGAGAAATGGCAACTGCCGCACACTACCGTACTCTGCGTTAGCCGTAAGCGACACCCTGCGACCCGTCAACACACGAAAAGGAAGAGATGTAGAAGTTGAGAGAGTCAAAGAGAGAGGGAGAGATAGATAGATAGATAGAGAGAGAGAGAGAGAGAGAGAGAGAGAGAGAGAGAGAGAGAAGTAAGCATCTACGCACCGACAAACGTTTGAAAGAAACAAAGTAATATTTGCGTCATGTTCCAGCCTGTCTCTGAGGTGAACGGCGGCTTCGAGGGCGCGAATCGTGGGTTTGAGGGCACGAATCGCGGCCTTCGAGGGCGTGAATCGCGAACTTCGAGGGCGCGATTCGCGGGTGCGAATCGTGTCCGCGCGTGCTCGGATGCGGGCGTCTCAATTGGCATCGCGAGGGAGCGCAAGGGAGCGTGCCACCCCTGCTCGTGCCCGGCCCGCCCCTCGCTTCGCCAGCCACCCCTTCCGCCCGCCCGCCCGCCAGCACCCGCCCCAAATTGGCGGCTGTTTGTGAGCGAAGAATGCACGCGGCGATGCGCTATTGTGTCTCGGAGGACGTGTCCGCCCCCGCTGCCGCCGCCGCCGCCGCCGTCGCCACCGCCGCCGAGGCCCCCGCACACCCATGTCGCGTTCGCGCCCGCGCCTGCGTCACCTACTTGTCTTTCAGAGCTGATTCTTTATTTCAAACTAGAGGACCCGGTAACGCTTGGATACTGTGATGTATTAAATAAATACAATTCAATTTCAAAATCAGTTTATTCAATGAAGATAATCCTCGTAATAACTACACAGTAACTACGAATTAACTGCACATTACTACATTACACTATTTTAAAAGTCAAATATTGGAATCATGTTGTGCACTGCCAACATTTAGTTCAGACTTTCTGCTTTCTGGATTGCAACTTCGATATTATGAGTCGAAGCGAGGCTTGCCGTGCCTCTGACCGGGAGGTTTTAGGGCTCGGGTCCCGACGGTGGCAGAATATTGAACACTAGCTATACTGGTAGTTCAAATTCAGCCGCCGTTTGGAGAACTCTAGCGACCGGCTGCTCTGATCGGTAGTTTTCCGTGGTTTCTTCGATTCCAGAACAGTGCCCTAACAAACGGGTAACGGACCGTCCGCGGTATTTCCTTTTGCGTCCTTGCCCTATCCTCCCATCTTATTTACACACACTTACATGCTCTACTCAAGCACATGTGCCGGCTGTCCAGTCGGGAGAATTGAGCTTGCGTCGTCTGAGGCGACGCCACACTAGGGGAGGATACCTGGTTGGGAAAAACACCGCGAGTCTACTAATCGGGACTAATGTCAACCAATCTGTCAGCCAGTCAAGCAAACCTGGCCGAGGCTATCGCTTACAGAGAAAAATAATTCGACATTTATGGTGAAAGGAACATACGAAATTATGCATTCGAGTATTCACTGGAACGTGCTTATTTTTCTCGTTCAGTTTCACGTAAAACCCGAAAAATGTTCACAACCTGCTCTTTTGTGCTGAACAATACAACTAGATACGTTCCATAAGTTTGGCGAAATTAAGTGATTTTTACAGTTTAGTTTCTACATTGGCCACGGATGCTGTGGAGAGCTACCGTCGCTAATTTTTTTTATTTTTCTTTATTATTAATAAAGCTGAAAAATTAACTGAGCGCTCAGAGTGTATTGTGAAAGGAATAGTGTGTAATAATGTTTTACCGACCAAATTTCCTCTCCTTGTTTCTTTTAGGTTTCAGGTCAACCACGCATAGAGGCCACGCTATAGTATTTTATTTTATCATTTTGCATTTTTATTAGGTTGAGATCGAGAGACCAAACTAGTAATAGCTAAAATTTTAGCATTATACGTTTAGAGTAAACTGGGTTTATTGTCTCTATTGTTAAAATTATCGTTTTTGTACAAATAAACAAATAAAATTAGCAAAAAATACAATTTTGTTGGGCCTTTTGGAAAAACAACCATCACTTTTCAGAGACGACACTCCCGTATAGCAGTGTTATTGGAAATAGCTCTGAATAAACGTCTTCTTGTTTCTTCACTTACTGCATCGGAACGACACAAAACAGAAGTTTTCAACGCAGCATTTGCCAAATCGATACATCGACATGTTTGGACCCGATCGTGAAACCCGATACGTTTCTCTCATTGTGTGTCTGTGGCGAGTGACCGGTCGCTAACCGGGTTTCTGTGCTTTCTTTCCATTTCTGCGCGAGCGCCGTCCAATTAGATTCGGCGACCATTTCACCGCCACTCACCGTCCCCTCGTCTTCACAGACCTCTCGCCCCCTGGACGATCCAGTGTTCGTTGACTACTCTCCGAGGAGAAGGGCAAGTTTCCCAAAGCAAACTAAGCCTGAAGCAGCGGCGTTTCTAGATAAACTGACTCTCGCGTGAAGAGTTGTATTTGCACCTCCATCAGGCTAATTTCAGCAACTATTTAGGGGGAAAATTGAAATACTGAAATAAATTACTATCATCGTGTAAACCCTGTATTGTTTATGCTATAAATTCCTTTTTACTTTCTCGCCTTCTACGTACAACATGCTTAAATGAAACTGTTTTAATACTGCGGCACAAAGTGAGGATTTTTCGTCAGAAAATTCGTATTTTTGAGCCCTTGTGTCTAAAAGTGAATATATTGTTCCTTTTTGTAGTACGTTACTTGTTCAAACACATTGTGTATTCAGAATTGAAGTTTTGTGGGTCTTTGGTACCGAACAATTGGTTGAAAGCGAAATGTCTGTCTTCGATCCGCCGCGCCGGGCTGTCCGGTTTTCCATCGTCGTTTTGCTTACATCAACACTAACATCTTACCGTTCACATGATTTTCTCCAAAATCGAAATTTACCGATCGATCTGACGTAAGTGAAGACTCAGCGAATTTGAAGCGGATATTTTGATTTTTGAGGGAAATTTTCAGTCTCAACATTTTCAAACGTTTCTCAAAAATGGCTCCAATTTGTTTTTTTTTCGGATAGGGCAAACAATGTGTTTCGTGTTATTGCTCCGGTAGCAGAAGAAGGTGGTAGAATCGGTAGTCCAGATTCACTCGAAATTCTA